TATTTTTTTTCCCCTTGACAAAAGCTATGCATTAGGATGGATGTTAGCCAGTCAAAATCCCCTTATCCATTCAGAGGCTGTCTCGCTTGCTTTCAACATGCCCCAATCGCAATACATTTGTTGAATCCAAGTTGAACACAGTTGGGACAAGAATAGCCGCTCTCCCCAAGTGGTGCGTTGAGGCTAGAATGTGACAGTGTGACCAGTGTGACGCTGTCATCATCAGTGCTCCACCAGAGCCCCTCCCCGGATGGGCCTTAGGCACCCCATCCTGGGCGGCAAACCACCGAACCAGGACATCCAGTGACCTCCTTGTTGTCGACGATTTAAGCAATAGATACATAAACGCCGCCCTATACGTTTGTTTGTTATACGCTGTGTTGTGGAACAATAGCTCGATGATAGAGTGAGCAAACGATTTTCTTGAAAGAAAGCTGTTTATGATTCCATTCTTTGGATGCACCAAACAAAGTATGTACTAGTACTTGCAATAAATCCCCACTTGTCTCCCTTTGACTGCTGCTGCATGTTCGGTGCCGCCAGAACCTCTGCCAGCTGCAAGGCCCCAACCGATCGGCGTTAATTACACCCCTCTTTCACCCGGGTGTGGTTCAACGTGCTTTAGTCGTTCCTCGCCTGACATTATTTCCAGCTCTCCTGCTCCCTCTGGAAGGATCTCTTTCTGAGAGTTTTGATTCCCATCTTGCTGCGCCTCGTTGTCATAAGTTTTGAAACCCTTAATTCCCATTCAGGAGCCGCAACGGCGGAAGATTGACTTTCCCACTGCGGGGCTGCCGTTCCGTCCATTCGAAGCTGCTTTTCCCTCTCATCGACCAGCCAGCCCGCGCCAGGTCTTCTGTTTGTCTTTCTTCCCTCCCCTGACTGAGACACAAAAAATAAATAGGAAAAAGGAGGAAAATAATAAAAAACCTGAAAGCAAAGCGAGGAAACAACAAAAGTACTCGCGAATTTCCCCACTATCTTTTGGGTGGACCGACCGCACATTTTCCTCCCCCTCCATTTCTTTCTCGGCGTCTACAGAACGACACTCGCTTTACCGCCTCGAGTTTCCTTCGTGCTACTAGCAGTCGATCGCTGGAACCTTTTTTGTTTTTTTTTTTTCCTTTCCATCGCCCCTCCGAAACCATGTCTGATTTACGAGGACGTAAGATCTTCAAGGTCTTCAACCAGGATTTTATTGTGGATGAACGATACAATGTCACTAAGGAACTTGGTCAAGGTGCATATGGTATTGTCTGGTACGTTATAGATCGTCATAGGCTTCTAACATACTCGTCTCTCCGTCAACCCTGGTCTATCGAGAGTAATGGCCATGCGAAGATGAAGATCATATAAAGCTGTTTGGATCACCACATTCTGACGACGATCTCCGGTTTCGCTATCTAGTGCCGCCACGAACATTCAAACCGGTGAAGGTGTCGCTATCAAGAAAGTCACCAATGTCTTCAGCAAGAAGATCTTGGCTAAGCGCGCCTTGAGAGAAATCAAGTTACTTCAACATTTCCGAGGCCACCGCAATGTACGTTTGGTCCCGACTTGATGCCACTGAAGCTGATAGGGCTGACCGGATCATGCAGATCACTTGTCTCTATGACATGGACATTCCGCGCCCAGATAACTTCAACGAAACATATCTGTATGAGGGTAAGGCCGCCCCCCTGAACATGGTCCACGCACAGCTACTGATATCATTTCCTTGCCCAGAGTTGATGGAGTGTGATCTCGCCGCTATTATCCGTTCCGGACAACCCTTGACCGATGCCCACTTCCAGTCCTTTATTTATCAGATTCTGTGTGGCCTGAAGTACATCCACTCGGCCAATGTTTTGCATAGAGATTTGAAACCCGGAAACTTGCTGGTCAATGCCGATTGTGAACTCAAGATTTGCGATTTCGGATTGGCGCGTGGTTTCTCGATTGATCCGGAAGAGAACGCAGGTTACATGACCGAATATGTCGCGACAAGATGGTATCGTGCTCCGGAAATCATGTTGAGCTTCCAGAGTTATACTAAAGCTAGTATGTGTTTTTGCCCCTGGCATGCTCTTACCGTCTACTTTGCTGACATACACTAGTCGACGTGTGGTCTGTGGGCTGCATCTTGGCCGAACTCCTCGGCGGCCGTCCCTTCTTCAAGGGTCGTGACTATGTCGACCAGCTCAACCAGATCCTGCACTACCTGGGCACCCCGAACGAGGAGACCCTGAGTCGCATTGGCTCTCCCCGGGCCCAGGAGTACGTTCGGAACTTGCCTTTCATGCCCAAGATCCCCTTCCAGCGCTTGTTCCCCAGTGCCAACCCCGATGCGCTTGACTTGCTTGACCGCATGTTGGCCTTCGACCCCTCGTCGCGTATCTCGGTTGAAGAGGCCCTGGAGCACCCATACCTGCACATTTGGCACGACGCATCAGACGAGCGACGTGCCCCACAACCTTCGATTTCCACTTCGAAGTGGTGGACGACGTACAGGAGATGCGTCGTATGATCTACGAGGAAGTCGTGCGCTTCCGTGCCGTCGTCCGGCAGCAGTCCCAGGCGCAGGCCGCCGCTGCTGCGCAACAGCAGCAGATCGCCCAGCAGACCAACGTCCCGATCCCCGAGAACCAGCAGGGCGTCTGGAAGCAAGAGGAGCCCAAGCCTCAGGAGGCGCTCGCCGCGGGCGGTGGCGTTCACAACGATCTGGAATCGTCCCTGCAGCGTGGAATGGACGTACAATAAACGGGCATGGGTGGTATACAATCCCTTCACCCAAGTGAATATCTTCGTCCCTGGAATTCGCAGGCGTTTCCGGATGCCTATATGATAAGAACATAAATATATTCACGGGCTCCCCCATCTTCGGTTATGCCATGCAATTAGTTTCCAGCAGTATCCCTTTTCCTTTTTCCTCCCTGTTTACATACCAAAAGGTTAAAGAGAGGACTGGTTCACTCCCGTTCCGTTCTTGTATGTACCCGACTTTACCTATGCTACTGGCGACTGGCTATTGGACCTGGGTCTGTGTGTAAGCGTGCATGAGAAAGACGGCAGTTGCATTGCAATTGAGCGCTAGTTTGATCTTTTGATTGATGAATGGATAGATCTGATGAAGTAGTTGATTATAGTATAGCATATATGAGAAAGTACTCTATTATCTATTTGTGGTTCATATTCTTCTCCTTTTGGACTAACATAATTCTAATTCTGATAACAGCACAGTAAATCCGAGGATATATAATCATTTCATCAATCGTCAATCATACATACATAGGAGCAAAGACTACATGAAATCAAGGGAAACAAAACCATCCCCATGCACATCAGATCAACCCATCAACCCATTCCATATACTCTTGAAAGAAGAAGGAGGGAAAAAAAAAGGTTCATCAATCAATAGTAATAACCCCTCCACCAAACAGCCATACAAGACGCAACAAGCAAATCCAGCATCTTTATACCCTCATCCTCGATGATCAGTTTACCTAGTTTAGCGCTCTTTCCGCGCATGCCGCCCCCGGCGTTTTCTCGCGCAAGCGAGAAATCGAGGCGGTCGTCGCTCGGTGGACGGCGCAGAGGACGGCGGGGTCCGTCCTCGAGGTCTGCGACGCCGCTGCTGGTGCTGCTTGTAGAGGGTTTGCGGGTGGGCGCTCCGAAGTTGGAGTTAGAGGGTATGGAGTGGGCGGATGCGCCGGAGCGGGCACGCGGGCGGTTGTACGCGCTTGGGTTGAGGAATTGAGCGAGGCTAGCGCGCTTTGAGGTGCGGTCTGACGGGGAGGAGGAGCTTGGGTCGAGGTTGTGGCCGTGGCTGTTGGGATTGCTGGTGGGGTCTTTGAAAGCTGGGGTTTGGCTGAGGGTGAAGGGCGAGATGTGGGAAGGGCCTGGTTGGTGGTGGAGATGGCCTGCTTGGAAGGGAGTGTTGAAGCGGATTTCGGCGACTGTCACGGCGGGATTGTCGATGGGGGCGCCGTTCGGGCCTGTTGAGGGCATTGGGATCATGTGCTTGCATTTGAGGCTGCGGCCGTTGACACTCGTGGAGAATGTGCAGGTGCCGTTCCAGGGTGAGGTGAAGGTGTAGTAGCCGCTTTTGAGCTTAGAGGTGTTCGATTTCGAGGGACTGTTGGTTCCGTGGTCGAGTGAGGGTCGCTGGCTCCTGGGTCTAAGGAGCCTCGGCCGTTTTCCTGGTATGGCTGTGATACTTTGAGTTTGCGGTGGAACTTTCGGGGATGCGATGGTTGGCTGGGGGTGCTCTCTGCTAGTTCGGCCTGAGTAGGTCGAGACGAAGACAGTGAGATGCGGTTGCTTATTTCGGAAGGTAGGTTGATTCCTAGACTGGCCAGTGAGAGCGGTTCGCTTTGCGCAGCGAACCGGTTATACCCTGGCGTGGACACCTCGATGTCAATGGCGCTGCCGTCCATTTTCGGTGTTGATATTGTCGCGACATTCCACTGACTCCCATGGGTAGGATCACGACGGATGAGGGTGATGTGGAAACCAGGTCTTTCCGGCGGTCTGCTGTCATAAGGTCTCCTACTTGGAGATTGGCCTGGACTTCTCGCTGGAGAACTCATGCGATTGGATGATGGATTCGCATGAGCCGATTGTGGTCGCACTTGCGGTCTCCTGGAGTCGAGGCTGTGACGGCCCGAGGTCAGGACCTCATACTTTTCCTTCCAGTTTTCCGCATTTCGTCCGGGCAAATACCCCGACAAGGCACTCCAACGATTGGCCTTCTTCGGCGCAGAATTGTCCTCGACCAGCTCAAATGCGAGCTCATCCTTCGGAACAGGTGGAAGCGGGCGAGCCGGTAATGGCGGCCTTGCTTCAGTCTCGTCACCCGGTAGCGTATGTCGGAAGGGATCGCGACTGTCCGTTGTCATCTGAGCCGCAGACTGGGGAATATCAATCGAGGAGCGACTCCCCGTCCAGCTCGGACGAGCCGGCATCAGAGACGACGGTATTTCCGCAGAATTTGGCACCGGAAGAACATTCTCTGGCAGCGACACATTGGATCGGTGAGCAGGGAGAGGAGGGCGTGCATCAGCGTCCACCTTTGCGCCACCGCCGCAGCCGCCTGGAACAGGCTTTCGTCGAACCTGATTCATTTTCGCAAACTCAGGAGGAACATCCGCCTCCTCTCCACGCTCCTTCCGCAGTTTTGCCTCTTCCTCGCGCTCTTGCTCACATTCCTGGAGCAAGACATCGTCCTCGGGCGTCGAGACATGTAGATAGTAGAGGGAAGCATTGATGGCCTCAGCCGAAACACTGGCTTTCGTTGGTGGCTTCAGTGGAGAGAGAAAGACATCTACAGGGCAGGCCAACGACGTTGAAATTAGCATCCATCGTCCAATCTTGAATAAATTAAATGATCGGTCAATTTCTCCCACCGCTTATGCGGGGTACATCTATGCAGCAACCGACCATGACGTACCTTTACTGCCCGGGACTCTCACGATATACAAAACCAAAGGATCAAGTTTCTTCTGTGTCGGATTCCGTGGATACGCCGGGGGATTCGAGGCTACTGCGGTAATAGAGGACAACGAGCGAGCCTCAACGGGGCCTTGGGGAAGGCTGTGGTTTGGCGATGCGGCGGCCGGAGAATCCGCCGCAGCATCGACCTTGGCCATTTACGGGAGAGAGCAAGAGAACAGATCTCCAAACGTCAGGGATCAAGAAGGAAAGGGTGAGAAGTCGAGGGGATAATAATATGGAGAGAATAAATGAGCAAATACGAAGGCACGGTAAACAAACGCTTGCGGAGACGTCGGACGGGCTGCGGAGAGTGCCGCCAAGAGCTGAAGACGAAAATCACTCTGCCATCGTTGGTCAGTCGAGACTTGCATACATTGTGAAGATAGTCGAGGACAAGCGCTATTTATTTGAGAGATGAGTAGATGTTAAAAATAGAACTAAGAGTTGGGAAGGGAATAATAAACTAGCAAGGCGAGGAGGCAAAGAATGGGGTGTAGGGGGAGGTTAAAAAAAAAAAAGGTTGCCTGGCTGGCGAATGACAGACGCGTACAAAGGACAACGATAGGGCATCAATGCCAAGTGCTATGTCTTCCAGATTTGGTATCTCTAATCAAATAGTTACAAGTGTTCCCATGCTCAAAGATAAACGAAATGAGGACTTCACGTCTTATGGAATGTCCGTCGGGGGAATTAGCGCGCATTACCCATACAAAGCAAAGTATAGTAGGGAAAAAAAGAAAGAAAAAAAAGACAGAACGCCCAGGCTCCAAGGCTCCAACCCGTCCAAGATTTTGCAGATCACTATGCTGGCAACTTAAACAACGGTCTCTGTTCTTTCATTTGTTGCAATGATTGGCACAGGAAGGCCTCGGTCAGGGCTTTGCAGCACCAGCTGTTCGTGGCGTCGAGCCCGTAGATAGTCACTGATAGCGCGGATTAAGATGAACCAACCAACAATCATGAGAACATATGAAATCCATTCACTCGTGGAGATCCCGGATACACCACCACCGCCGCCATCGCTCCCAGATCCATCAGTAACGGAGCTAGGGTCAAAATTATGACTGTTGGGGTCCGGAGGTGTCACGTATTGGTCTGCACCATCGTCCGGTTTCGTATCACTTCCGCCTTTCATGTAAAATCCGTATTGTACGAGAGTAAGACCGAGACCAGCCCTACTTCCATTCTTCGCCGCATGTGTAGTATGGAGAAGGTAGGTCAGGAGGAAACCGACCAGTTGGAAGGACATGGAGATCATAGCGTTCCAGACAAACGAAAAAACGGACCCTACTGGTAACCCATCAACGTACACCTCGTCGGATGATATTCCGGGGGCCAAAATCGTAGTCTCCCAGTACGGAGGGGTAGCGTCAGCAGCCGCCTCTTCATAGGACTATACACAAGACGTTAGTAAGGGCTCAAGAGAATACGCATCGCTCAACACAAAGCAGTAGGTGAATACACACCGGTGGAAGGTCTTCGGTTTTCTCTCCACGCTCTGGCTTAGCCGCCAGATTCGCAAAGACACCGTCATTTGTCGAACTGATCACTCGGCTACCAGTACTGAAACTCGGTAGGAGTGTCTGCCTCCTCTGGATCCCACCGCGCTCTTCACTGGACGGTTGCTGTTCATTACCCACTCCAGATGACGAACTAGCGCTCGCACTGCTGCTACCTGCCACTGGTCGCGAATCCGGCTGAGCCCGCATTAGTCGCTGACGGTCATCCGGCTCATCCGCTTCGGAGTCACTCTCGTCATCAAATGCGTCGGCCAGCGTCTGATCTGCATCGTTGTTTAGGGGGTCGTCATGGAGAAGGCGTCTGGATGATGGAGAGGTGGAACGAGAGCGAAATGAGGGAGGTGGAGAGTTTGGTGTTCCCCGGAGAGGGATTGACGATCGTGATTGTGATTCTTCATCTTCATCGTGGGCATTTACCTAGAAATCACCAAATCAGCAACCCGTCCCAAGAATTTCACAATTTGTCGGTAACTCCTATGCAACCTGCAACCAGACCAGGATGCTGGGCGACTCTTACCCTTTGATAGCGCTGCGAGCTCATGACGAGCTAGAGCGAGGAAAGGAAATCCGGAAAGAGAGGGGAAGGGCGGTAAAGAGAGAAGATCAATATGCACAACAGAGGCCTTATAGTACTACCAACAAAGAAGACAAGTAATAAAGAGCGTCCGAGAGCAATCGATGATGAGGATGGAAAGGGATCGACTGTAGATGGAGGATGGGGTGGAAATGAGGGCGATTACATGACGG